AATAAATACCTGGAAGAACTTTAGTACAGTTCTGTAAGGTTGATTTGCTCAGTATTTAAAACTAGATTTATAAAATAAATGTGACTAACGAGATTTGATCAGTATGACAAAATTATATTAATAGAATTTGCAAGTCTATTCTGCATCTCCAACAACTTACAGGTGCATGATTGAAGAGCAACAGATGTCATTTCAAACTGTGGTTTTAATTGCTGTTATGAACTGTGTGTCAGAGCAGTTCTTACATAGTAATGTGCTGCTATTAATAAAACTTCAGATTCTGGAGAAAAGTAGATAATTGTTTAGTGGGTAACTCCCAATGCTGGTCTGATGTCTAGAAACGTAGTTATAAATTATATCATGGTGACTGGCAGGATCCTCTTTAAAAAGAGGGATGAGGGAAAGGCTGTGGATGTGGTCTACCTTGACTTCAACAAGGCATTTGACACCGTCTCCCACAGCATTCTCCTCAAGAAACTGGCTGCTCTTGGCTTGGACTGGCGCACGCTTCGTTGGGTTAGAAACTGGCTGGATAGCCGGGCCCAAAGAGTCGTGGTAAATGGAGTCAAGTCCAGTTGGAGGCCAGGTCACTAGTGGCGTCCCCCAGGGCTCGGTGCTGGGGCCGGTCCTCTTTAACATCTTCATCAATGATCTGGACGAGGGCATTGAGTGCACCCTCAGTAAGTTTGCAGATGACACCAAGTTAGGTGTGTGTGTCGATCTGCTCGAGGGTAGGAAGTCTCTGCAGGAGGATCTGGATAGGCTGCACCGATGGGCTGAGGTCAACTGCATGAAGTTTAACAAGGCCAAGTGCCGGGTCCTGCACCTGGGGCGCAATAACCCCAAGCAGAGCTACAGGCTGGGAGATGAATGGTTGGAGAGCTGCCAGGCAGAGAAGGACCTGGGAGTGATGGTGGATAGTCAGCTGAATATGAGCCAGCAGTGTGCTCAGGTGGCCAAGAAGGCCAACGGCATCCTGGCTTGTATCAGAAACAGTGTGACCAGCAGGGCTAGGGAGGTGATCGTCCCCCTGTACTCGGCTCTGGTGAGGGCGCACCTCGAGTACTGTGTTCAGTTTTGGGCCCCTCACTACAAGAAGGACATGGAGGTGCTTGAGCGGGTCCAGAGAAGGGCTGAGAAGCTGGTGAGGGGCCTGGAGAACAAGTCCTACGAGGAGCGGCTGAAAGAGCTGGGCTTGTTCAGCCTGGAGAAGAGGAGGCTCAGGGGCGACCTTATCGCTCTCTACAGATACCTTAAAGGAGGCTGTAGTGAGGTGGGGGTTGGCCTGTTCTCCCACGTGCCTGGTGACAGGACGAGGGGGAATGGGCTAAAGTTGCGCCAGGGGAGTTTTAGGTTAGATGTTAGGAAGAGCTTCTTTACTGAAAGGGTTGTGAGGCATTGGAACAGGCTGCCCAGGGAGGTGGTGGAGTCACCATCCCTGGAAGTCTTCAAAAGACGTTTAGATGTAGAGCTTAGGGATATGGTTTAGTGGGGACTGTTAGTGTTAGGTTAGAGGTTGGACTCGATGATCTTGAGGTCTCTTCCAACCTAGAAATTCTGTGATTCTGTGATTCTGTGAGATATAGAAATAAGTGGGGTATTGACTTGAGGTTCAACTTGAAGTCAATATATTTATTTTTTTTATTTTTTATTTTTATTATTTTTTATTTTTATTTTGGTGAAAAACATGATGGAGAAGAAATACATCTATGGATCAGACCACAGAAATTTCAAAAATTTCAAAGCTGATTGTATCCCAGACAACATATGTGTAAGAGTACACTGCTGTAATTGCTGGTGAAAAACTGCACAGTGGTCAGATAAAATAAGAATTACTTCATGTCTATTTTGAGGAAGTATTGGAGCTTCTCAAAAATAGTTTTATCTATTTTGTCAGTAATTGCAGCATTCACAAGAAATGTTAAGGCAAGGGAAATTAATATTCTGACACTTCCTTCTTATATACTTATACAAGGTCTTCAGAATTATTATTACAAAATGATTAGTGTAACATACAGTAGGATGTACACACAGCAATCTAAAGGTTGTTTCTGATCTATGAAATAGTTGTGATGTAAAGGCTATAAGCCTCTGAGAAAAAAGTAGCAATGAATAATAACAGTATATTAGAAAAATAAACTTAAAGATGTATTTATCTATCTCACAGCAAATCAAGTTTCTACACTTGAAACATTATAGACCAATTTCCCTCTTATGTATCCTAATGGTGAATTTACATATTTCTGTGGATCCCATTCTGACTTTCTTTTTTAATGTAAAAATGGTGTCTGTTTACAGAAGGATAAGAGACGGCAATATAGGTCTAGGATTTTTTTTTTTTTTTTTTTAATCTTGTACAAGATTTTGAAGTAGATTGCTAATAAAAGCTTGTTATATATATTTTTTTGTTTTTCTTATTTTCTACTACTTTATCGTAGTTTACTTATCTTTTTCTTAAGAAAGGCTCTTCAAACCTATTTTCCTCATCTGTACTGGTGCTTTCCTTCACCTTTCTCAGGCTCCGAGTTGATGGTCTTGTAGTATGATTCCACTAACACTAGGAGCAATCATATCTTCTATTACAGTATATGGAGAAAATGGAAGGCCATTGCTGTAATCTATTATTGACATGATTTAACATGCAGGCAAATACTACAGTTAAACTGAACGTCCTTTTTGTTGGTTCAGGTAGAAGTGTATGGGGATGTATTTTGGCAACTGTTTATTTTGAGACTATGGCAACATCTTCTTGCAGCAGTGACCCACTCATTTTCCCATGTCTTACCTAGTAATGATGTATGTTGGTATCAGTCTTTCAAGAAATAAACTGAACTTCACCATTCCTAAAAAGGGCTGCCTGAAGGGTTATGTTTTTTTTTTCTGTTTTTTTTTTTTTTTTTTTTTTTGTGAAAATTGTCACAACCAACAAATTATAGTCTACTGATTAAATCTTTATTATGAGTTGAACATCTGAGAGCAAAGAAAACAATGAGGCTTGAGCACCATAGCATGTGTCAGTGTTTATTGTTGTTTTACCCTTATCTGAATCTATGTGGACTCCTTTGGTTTAGTATAGGTGTGAAACATCCTGTGCTACTCTGTTTGTATCAGATCAGAAAGAGCAAAAGGAAGTTTTTCGGTGACCAGGGGAATCTGTGATGAGACCACAAATCTGTGAGCCTTTATTCTGTACACATCTTCTTTTACTGGTTCTCTCTCATTGTAAATTGTGTTTCATTTACCTCACCAAGGTCTTGTGAGGATCACTGCAGCAATAACTATGAAGGATATAGATATCAGTGGTAGGAAATAACATAGTAGGAATTGCAGTCTGTGGTCATCAAGGGGACCATGTATGATAGTGCATCTAGGTTATTTCCTAAGAACGGGTGGGTTTGGCTTCCTCATAGAGTGTGCGCTTTAAATTTGATCTTCAGTTTTCTAGACTCGATAAAGCACGTTTTCAAGTACAGATTAAAGAAAAAACTATGCAGAGAATCAAGTATATTTACTAATATAATAACTAATGCCCTTGAAAAAAAAAAGGCCTTATTTATGAGAGATATGACCATCAGAGTGTATAATAATATTTCATCTGTGTGTTTAAATGCAAAAAAAAATTCTGATACATGGATTCCTGCTCTTCACAGTTTCAGTACATTCTGGTTCATTGGTAACTAACACAGAGATTATTGCTTGTCTGGAATAACAATATATTCCTGGTAAGGACCTAAATTTTTCTCAGATGTATGTATGTAACAGTTCACTTTTAGCAGTTGAGAGCTTGGCATATTTCAGTGAAGACAAAGAATCAATATGATTCGGACTGATATTCTGCGACATATATCTTGGTTTATTTTATTGGAGTGACATGCTGGTTCTTAAAAAGGAGCAGGAGGCAACCATCTGTGTGAAATTACTCATTTCAATTCTGATGTAAGGTTAACACTATAAATATTTGCCAGCTTTTTTTTTTTTTTTTTTTTTTTTTTTTTTTTTTCAGTAGGAGATCAAAAATAATTGAAGCCACATCCCTCTTAGCTATGTTTGTGAAATCCAAAGTGTGGCTGGAGCTGTGCTAACACAGTAGGCTTCTGTTAATTTCATCCATCTGGATGTAGTGCAAATTGATGAGCAGAAGACTCTCTTTGTTAGAATAGTGTGTGTTTCCCTTTGGATGTTCTTCTGACATACCTGGGTTAACAAGACATCTGCATGAAACACTTAGGGTTTTAGAACTCCTTTTTTTTTTTTTTTTCCAAATTGCATAGCTCCTTTGTGTAAAAGGTGGAGAACATGAAGCACAGGATTACATTTCCAAATGCACAGGGAACACATTTTTGATGAGGATTCATGATGAGGGTGGTGAGGCACTGGAACAGTTTACCCAGAGAAGCTGTGAATGCCTCATCCCTGGAAGTTTTCAAGGCCAGGTTGGATGGGTCTTTGGGCAACCTGATCTAATGGGAAGTGTCCCTGCCCAGGACAGGGTTAGTGAAACTTTGATCTTTAAGGTCCCTTCCAACCCCAAACTATTCTGTGAATCTGTGCTTGCTTATCTTTAATAGCAGAAGGATTTTTATGTACTTTACAGTTTAGAATGTGCAGTTGACCTACATTTCAGGTGGATGCTTTAGCTTCTCCAGCTCTTTCATGTTAGTAGTCTCAAGAAACTAAAATAAAGATGTTGCTGTTCCTTATTGTTTACACTGGAAATTACAGGAAAGAGTGGTATAGACAGACCCATAACAAGTCTGTATGAGTCTCCCATTTAAAGGATAGATAAATAGCGATTTAAAACATAAAGTTCTCTAAGTACTCATTTTTCCTTTCAGACTTACTCTTTAATAAAACCAAATCTAATGCTCAAATTAACATTTTGAATATTCTGATATTCTGTTGAACCATGAATTATGTTCAAGTTTGCTTGTATCTACATTAATTCTTTTAGATGATAGAATGAAGCTATCTAACTGATCTCTTTCTTTTCCCCCTTCTAGTTAATGGTCTAATGACACTTGGATTAGCAGGTGAGGGATTAGCAGGTGAGTTTTACTTCTAAAATTCAAAATTTACAAATTTCTGTTTTGTCAGTGACAGCCATTTGAGAAGCACTTTATTTTATCTCATTTCAATTATTCAACCTTTAAGCATTTTTTTATAGTCAGTCTTGTCCACTGGCTGTATGAACAGAGAGTGTTTCAGTATTCTGTAAAGGTCAGTCTCAATAGAGATGGCAAAATTGTAAAATTATTCATAATTTTGAATCCCTTTGGCCAGGGATTTAGACAGACTAGTATGTTGTCCTATTGTTACTGTCAAATGTCTCTATCAGAGCTTCTCTTACAACCCTGCAAAATACTGAAGCTCTAAAGAGAGCAAACCAAAAATACCAAGGCTATGTCAAATTCACTTTAAATACTCCATTGAGAAAGAGCTGCAGTAAATTGTCAGTATACATTATGTAATGGAGAAGAAACTTGTATTCTGTTCAATTTATAGGATTATAAATCAAGTGATAGTTGGCAGTTTAGATTGCCATGCTAGGAAACTCCGCATTGCCTAACTTTTGTCCAAGCATCAATGCAGGATTTAAGTTGTCAGACATACAACTATTATATCTGGTTTTGAATTCTGTCCAGATTTAATATTCATCTGCACATCTAGCATTGCAAAGTGTAATTTATAACTGCTGCAGCTGCCAGATCAATTTGTGCGAATTCTTAAATAAAAAGGTTCATAGTATCATGTTAACTTCCAGAGGATAAAATTATACTCTCCTTATTTCATAATTGTCACCATTTTTGTCACTATTGATTAACTGTAGATCTGATTTTTTTTCTGACGTTGACAAAGGCTTAGTGTCAGCCATGAGAGCTATGCCAATCAGATGTACTGAAGGAAGTATGGGCAGATGTAAAGGGTTTATTCAGATGGTGCCAATCGGTCATTTGTACACCTGGATAATGAATACTGTTTGTGGCCAGTATGAAACTGTAGGCTTAGGGTCTCAGGTTTAGGATGGGCTGTCTAGTTATGAATGTGCTGTTGTTTAAAAGCTTGTTTTCATGCTTTCAACAGATATGATAGCTGTCTCTTGATTTACATGTGGAATTAGTGAGTCAGTGACTTCACCATCTGAAGTAAGCTGTGATAGCTTGAGTTAAATCAAAAGGAGCTCCTGTCTGGGCTCTGAAGGAGCTGTCATCTTCATGAGTGGGATACATAACATGCACTTGAGGCTGTTTTACAGTCACACATCCCATTTTGAATGGAGATGTTCAAGTTTCTGATTGACAGGTTAGTCTTGAGAGGAAGTATGAAACCAACCAAGCCTCAGTACACTGTTGAGAGTGAGGGCTATGTCTGACTTCTCTTTAAGTGAAGACTTGCATACTTCACCTGACTGTGTTTGGCCAACACAATATAAAATTAGAACATAATTAGAAAAGAGGGAGAAGTTGGGAGAAACTTTGATTATCATTGTGAAATTTCCTGACAGCCTTAAGTTACTAGTATTTGTTATTTATGTAGCAACTGTGAATGAAGTAACTGAAGCTGAGGAAAGAGATAGAGAAAATGAAAACCATAAAGCAGTATTTGGTTGTCAAGTAGGCAGCAAGTAAGATTTCTTTTTTCATGGAAGAAGGTAGGATTTCAGGTTCTCTGGAGCAGCAGAGAATGAAGTGGGAAAAAAGCCACCAAATCTTTTCAGCAATGATGGGATCTTACTTTCAAACTAATTAATACAAGGAAAAGAAATGGAATGTTAGGTTTAGGTTTCCAACAGAAAGAGACAAGCAGAATTATGTGAAGGAGTTTGCAAATTATGTGTTTGTGCTTCTTCTATTCCAATATTTGACATTTAAGGTGCTTTCTTATCTTACCTAGGTGCACATCAACAGACTAGACCCTGCAATGAATCTCTGATGTTAGAAAAGTTGCCTGCCTGTGGAAAATACTTTGAAGAGATGATGAAGAAAGTGGACTCCAAAAAATGGTGCAACCTGACAGAATTTATCAAGTAAGAGTTTGAGTTTTGATAGTTCTCACTATACAACAATATTTGTCCTTATGAACAAACAAACAAAAAACCCTGATGATCTCAAATACTTAGAACAGTGAACAGCATAATATTTATTAAGGATGTGCAAGTTCTCTAAAACAGAATAGTTTGGACATCCCTATTTTATTCCTCACATATAACAGGCTAGGCTTGCCAAATTTGGGCAGTTCTTTTCAGGAAAAAGTTCTACTCTACTCAACATCAATTATATTGAATTCAGTGAAAGGTGTTTTTGTCTTAGCCATTTGCGTGCCTTCATGTTGTCATTCAGTTATGACAACAGTGAAAATTCATGATAATACTTCATCAAGGAATAATTCCACTAACACTCCTTTCTTCAGCTTTTTATGTCAGAGCACCTTTCAAAACAATTTATGTTTGGTGCTGGATAGCTTTATCACATAATGGCAGCCAGGATTTATTGCTATCCCTAACACATGTAAAATATTTATGTTCCAGACAAATTAAAATCCTCCTATATTTGGTTCCCACTTGCATAGAGCTAAGCTGTAGCTCCTAAGTCCCTGCAATGTGGCCCCATGAACACAGGTAGACCCATTTAACTCAAGTGTGCATAATAGAACACATTAATGAAAACTAACTAGTGAGTTAATCAACACTAGCTGGTATTATTTTCACCTCAGGCAGTTGTTTTTATATTTACTTTATATTTCATTGCATTTTAGACAAATGTTACTTATATCCATGTTTTTTTTTTTCCTTTTTCTTTTTTCTTTTTCTTTTAAATTACTAAAGCAATGTACTTTTAAAATCATGTAAGTCTGTTTTCCTCTGTGCAGTTCCCTCTTCTGATTCCCTCTTCCTTCTCAGTAAGAAGACAATAACATTTCTTCATTCACCAATTCAGAAATCCACCTCTTGTATGAAACTATCCTGTCCAAATGTAAAATGTGTTGTATTGAAACTGCTGCAGTTTGTTTCTATGCCTGCCAGATAGCATGAAGAGTGAGTGCATTGTGTTTGAGTGACCATAGCACTGCAAGACTGACAGCAGTGAGGTTATCTTATCTCTATTTCTGTTTTGTAGTTGCTGGAGCTATTTAGACATCTCTCTACAAAGCTGCACACTTCAAACTCTATTCTGGAGGAAACTCACAGGGCTTGTGTAATTTGTGGCATTTTTGGCTTTGTGGAGCATCAGCTTCTTCGATGCATGTCTGCTCATGCATAATGCTTGGTTTTTGGAAGCGCTGAGTACCCTTCACACCAACTGAAATCAGAGGAAACTGCAGGTGTTCAGCACTTCAGAAAACAAGAGTCGAATGTATTAGCTCTGGTGTGATACAAGATAGCCTAATGCAGAACATCTTACTGGATTTGAAACAGCACTGGTGCTGTTTTGAGTGCTGCTCTCGAGGCAGGGTAGATGCTGCCACACCTGCCCCAGCTACATTCTTGTCTCATATTACCTCTGATCTTTTCTCCTATTTAGTATCACCTCATGTGTATTATGCAAGATCTTAGCCAGCTGATAGACATGATAGGTAATGAAATGTACTTCAGTGCTATGTGTTAAACAGTTCCCTATGTTTCCCTATGACTGATATCCATGTTGAGATGTTCCATCTGTTTACAGTATTTCATAATTTAATCTTACAACTTAGACGTTTTTCCCTTAGGACTTTTATTTGCACACGGTGGGTGACTTTACAACCTTTCAGCCTTTTAAAGGGTAAAGTCTTAAAGCTCATGGCATTGGAGTGAAAGATGCATTCATGAATTTACCCTCTAGCTGTGGGAAAGAGCACCAGGAGTTAAGGGAAGTAGGCCCTTCTTGTCCAGCTAGCAAAAATTGCATTGAAATCTGACAGCGGCATCTGTATTCAAAGAAAAAGTCTTGCAATACAGGTACTGCAAGTACAAATACATCTATGTTATAGAGCAATAATTTTAATGTTGCAACTCATAGAATTATAGAATGAGTTGGATTGTACTCATCTAAGTAAAAAAGTAATTTTACTTATTTTGAAGGAAGCACTGTAGTTTTGCCCTGTTTGATCTCCTTTACAAATGTATTATAATCATGAAACTGAATTCTTTGGTGATATCTTGTTCATATTGGTAAGTATCCTTAACTACTGGGATTAATTGCTGGAGAGAAGGATGCTTACAGGAGTCAAAGTATTAGACTGCCTTTGCAGGTGAAAAAGCAAGCAGCTTTTTACACACCTTGTGCTAAGATTTCTTCAAGAGTTTAAGTATTCTGGTGCAAGATTTTTCCAAGGTTTGGAGGACTGATGTTTCTGAATTCTCCTGACATTCAATTAGTTAAGAACCCTTTGATAGGGTTAAAAATGCCTTTGTTCTTTGTGATAGTACTTCCCCTTTGGTGTTATTTTCATTGCCTGTACAAGAAAATTCCTGCTGTTTTTTTCCTAAAATTACCTGTCAGTCTGAAGGTTTCCTCATTTTTCCTCATATGCAGCACTGGAAGAAGAATGCCATCAATTATTCTGCATTATTTCACTGTTTGGCCAAACAGTCATGAGAGAGACTTCAGTGACTTCAATTTGCTGTCACTTAATTTTACTGCAAGATATTCTGACAGTTCTGTTACTTATTTCCCAATTTCATTCTTAACAAACTTGTATTCTTTAAAAACCACACTTTTGGCTAGTTTTAAAGAGATGATGCTGTCATATATGGCAACTGGTACTGGAAAACAAAATGGGACTTGTAATCTCTGAAGCTGATCCTAATCTTGCTGAAAATATATAGCAATCACATATCAACTGCAAAACATCAGGATACCAAGTAACATCTTACAGAAGCACTGTCTAGTAAAATTTTCCCCATCAATTTTCCTATTTTTCTGTGAGGATTCATACAGAAATTAGGATACACATTCTCTGGGTCATATTGTCAAAAGTTTTTGAAAGCTTAAATATATTAAGGGTGCAAGTGGGGTTTTCAAATATTTTCAAGTTGTTTAAACACATGGGTTTCAATGGTTCATGTTTGGACACTGGAATATGAAGGGCAACCAGAAAATAGAAAAGTACCCCCCCTGCCCCTTTTAATTAAAAAAAAAAAAAAAAAGCCTGGAGACTGACAAAAGGGAAGGGGATCAGTCATTTCCAGTTTTGTTGATGCTTTTATGTTATTTACAAATAGCTCTGAAGATAAAAACATGACTAGGTAGTTAAAATGGTGGGGAATTATAGTATGCAACTGAACAATCTGGTTGATTGATTGGCTGCTGTGGTAACAAACACTATACAAATGTAGGAAATACAGATCTACATGGCATGTCAATGCTAAAAACTTTAGTACCAATTTGTACTGAAAAGTGACATATATAAAGAGCTTTGATTAATTAGAAGCTTTTACTTAGTGTATGATATCAAGCTTTGCTAGATTAATATGTGCTATTGGTTAATCCTGCACTGCATTTCTTAAAGACAAAGAGCTGTACTACTTTTTTTCACAAGGACTCATCCAGTAACTTGATTCAAAGAGAACATTCACTAAAAAAAACTGTCCAAAAAAAAATATTATTGTAGCACAGTCCTGTCACCTTTCCTGATTTTACATCATTATCGTCTCTAGAAATTAAGTATTTTTAGTGGTAGTGATAGGGCTAATGGCATTTACATACTTGCGTTATTTACGTACTCCTTTTGTTGACAGATCACCAGGCACCTCTGGTCAGAAGTATGTGGATTTCCCATTGATTTGGGCTTGTTTATTTTTTTTTTCTGCAATTAAAAGACTAAAAATACAGAGAAATAAATAATCAAGGGGTCACTCCTGGAAAAATGAAGATGGCCACAATGTAGCTATTTAGGTATAAGCCATCTCCTTTCTCTAATTCAGCTGTTAGAGTTATGTTGTTATGTTTATTTTATTGAGCTGCCAGAAACATGCCTTTTTAAGCAAAAGATGCACATTGTGTTTTGGAGACACTGAGAAGCAAATGTCACTAAAGAGTGCAATCCTATAACCATCGTTTAAGCAAATGTATTGGGAAATAAAAAAGAGGGCAGGATGCTGCATGATTCTGGACAGTGAAAGATACAGTGAAGAGAGTATCCTTATGTTTCCCATTAGAGCTGACCAATTTTTCCAATGTAATTAGGGATAGTGGTGACAGATGAGTCCAGAAAATGATCTTCCTTCAAAGAAATTCCTTTCAGCAAAGACAAATGGATGCCTACTTGTTTTGTATGTGTCTTTTGCTGCACAGTTACTCATCTTGTATCCTCACACATCTTGTCACTCCGAAAATCCTCTATTAAACTGAATTTCAGGAGAAGCATGACAACTTGGAGTTTTAAGGAGCACATCCCCAAACTAATTTCTCATGGATAAAAAATAAAACTATAGAGTGCTTTTCTTTTTAAGCTGAATCAATAAATGAAATAACAATTCATAAATTAATATCTAAAAGACTGTTATGAAATTCCCAGTGTTTGAATCTGCTGACTGTTTCCTGAGGGGACAGACCAGCCTCATTTATTTGGTATTGGACTGAAATTGAGAAATAAAGGATTTGATTGTTATCTGTATTGTCTGTGTTAGTCATGTGTCATCTATTTCAGTGTAAGGCATTCTGTTATTTGAAGCCTGTATTACTGTTGCAACAGTCATTTTCTTGGAACAGTCACATACCTGTTTCCCTGGGAGCTCCCAGCCAATCATTCTGTGTTTGCCAGCAGTGGAGTAGAAGGCTAGGAATGAAACAGCAATTTATGTTTTGGAAGAGAGTTCTGACAGGGTAGTATATGTAAGGAGAATGTTTTTTTTTTTTTTTTTAATAAGTTATAAATAATAATTTTTATTTGTTATTTCAGCAAAATAATTAATTGCAACAGGACTTGTTCCTGCTGTTCCTATGTTTCTTTTGACCCCATCATGTCTATGACCCAGAGAGACCCTCAGTTTTGCTGAGATACGGCATAGCTTTATGACACCTGGAAGATGTTACAATTCTGATT